AGAAGGCGGGGGCCTGAGAGTTGGCCAAGTCTCCAAACTCTGTTAATTCTGGCAGATTCTAACCCGGGAGAAACTGGACTGAAACCCACAAACAGTTAAGTAGATGAGGACATCAAAAGAAAGGCTGAAATCAGGGAAGATTTAGCGCTGGGACCTCGCAGTGCTCTGTAACAGACAAAGTGGTGTCAGCACAGCCCATCAGCCGCAGTGGCGGGAATGTAATGGCTCCTTTCCGGGTGGTGGTGGGGAAAATCCCCAAACTACTCAGAGATGAAAAATTCACCAGTTAAATAAGCTAGGGCTTATTTATACATCTATACAGCAAAGCAGCTTGGAAAACATGTTGCTTTTGTCTGGTAATTAAGAAAAGCAGTTTTTACAACTCAAGCGGATTACCAGAGGATGTAAGGCCAGACCTTTTAAATGTCAGCATTGTTCTACCACCCCCCCACATTTTAACAAAGTCACAATGTAAAAAGGACTAATTAGTATGTTATGAAAAGGCACACATCCAAAGATGATATTTGATGCATTCCTGTACTGAAACCTGAAATTAATTACTTTGTGCTGAAGTTCAGATATGTGCATTGAAAAAAAAAAGACTTGATTAACCTGCCTGCTTGCAAGTTCTTTAGGGGTCACTAGTAATATTGCTTTGTTATTTTGATTGATATTTCACTTTTTCTTAAGTGCATTGTAATTTTGCTCTAAGGAAAAATTAACTGTATAGAATGTTTTATTTAAAATCTTCAAAGTATTTTCTATTCTTTTCGCTTCACAACATATCTCTTGTTCTGCAAGACTTTTAATAACAAGGAAATTAAAAACAGTAAAGATATAAGAGCATTCATAATGCATCATTTAGGTAATATATTTAATTAATGTGAACAAATTCATCATTTTATTCTGGTTATCAAGACAGTTTAAGCAACACAAGATTTTCATCTAGCACGAAATTGGTGGGATGGCCTACAGACCTCTGTTAGAAACTTATTTCGGATGCTTTTTTGCACCACAAGTTACCTTATATATTTATTTTCATGCATGTTTTCTGGTTTATACATACACTTATTAGAAGGATAAAGTTGTAACTGGTATCACAAGAGCATCTACATACTTCTCACATTAATTATTTGGACAGAAATGATAAATTGTGCTTTAAAAAGGAAAATAGCACTGCCAGAGCTTCTAATGAGAAGAAAGTAGAGTTAAATTGAACAATTTCCTATCTCATCCTGTCCCAATAACCAGTCCTGGTACTCTGAAATATTCATGAAAGAATAATTATTGCCATTTATGGTCAAAATAAAACGCTGTTAATGGCACATGATTTTATAGCAGTTCCTAATATTTTCCCTTAGCAATTGCCCATTTATTTGACTTGCACTTGGCTCCAGCTTATTATTGACCTCAGTGTTACCAGAAGGGCACATTTAAAGAGAAAAAATATGTCATTAGGATCAAGATTAATCATAAGAACGCTGATTTTTAGAATAAACAGGGAAAAACATTTCTGGTGGAAAATGCATTATCTAACCCTATGTCTGAACAGCCTGAGATCATGTTTATCCAAATCAGCATTGGATATGGAACCACATTTATCAAACAGATTTCACAGTGAGCTTATGACTATCCTGCCCTGATCTCTCCACAGCTGGATTCCCAAGTCACTGGCCAGCAGGGAAGTATCTTTTGTAGAGATTATCTGTCAGTAGCAAAATGATGTTTAACTCACAGCAAGACATTCAGATGTTACAGTGCACTGACTGTAGCAGACACCAAAGAATGAGAACTTCCCTCAACCCTTTGCCTTATAATTTTGTTCTTTTAATTTTACCACTTTAATGGTAGCCCTTACTAGGAAGAGGGACCAGTTACCCACCAAGGCTTTGATGAGGTATCTGGGGCCATCAGCTCAGATGCAATTGTAGAAACAGGACCAAATAAAAAGGAAAGTGAGGTAAACACACAGTGATATTCTCTCTGCTTTAAGCTTTTTTGTTTGAATTAAAAGTAAACACCTTCCCCTACCCATGAAAAAGTCTTATTTGAAATTTTAAAACCTTTGAGTGTTGCTGAGCTTGTCTGTACTGCAGTTCTCAATCCTTGAAATATTTTGAAGATTTCTTGGCATTATATATGAGAAAAATATTACATTAATAGAAACTTGACCTAGCTAAACTTTTCCAGTTACTTCTTCTAAGTGTGGTCTTAGTGCAAATGGGTTTTTTTGCTATTAAAAGAACAGGGAAATGTAAACTCCATGTATTTCCTCACAATAGCTTAATTATAGCATTTGTACACTAATTCCCAGAAAAATAATCTGCAGTTAAATGTGACTGTAAAAAAAAATAATCTTGTATTTGACACATTATTATAAACCAAAATATTAACATTCTCCTTTTGACTTTTTGCTCAGTGTTTCCTTCCATTAGAAACAGACAAAATTCAGGATGATCCTGATGTTCTGCATTAAAACCAGAGAGTATCCTCAAACTCTTCCCTGGTGTAAGGTTTGTAACCTACAGCTGACACAAATGCATGAAGGTTGCAGGGACTGTCATGAAATCCCACCCTGTGTCCTATATTCTCAGAAACAATGTTTGCCTATAGTTGGGTCACCCTCAAAATATACACAATTCCTCCTGTATAGGATAAGCTTAGAAGAGAGAACCTTTCTTGTTTAAACACGCAAGTCATATAGTAACACTATCACTCTTTCTTTTACTTCTCTTATAGAATGAACAATCAGACAAGAGTGGATTTTTTTTCAGGGTAATCTCCACAGCATGACTTTGCATATATGTATTTCTAAGAGTAATAGACACCCCTCACTCATGTGAGTGATTTCAGCAAGGTTCACTTCATTGTCATTGCCTGACAACTCAGTAAAACATCGCAAGTAACAAAACCCATCAATTTTCAGTATCATGCAGGTTCATTCCAGCATCCTTATCCACTCCAGCATCCCTAATTTTTAATGCACCCTACCCTTGAGCATAGCTATTTGTTATTACAGCTGAGGCTGCACAAGCATATGGTGAGTGGAGGCCCAGTGAGCTGGAACGTCCTGTTTCAGCTGATATTCTGCAGAACTGTTTGGCTATGGGAGCTCAGCAATATATTTTGATAGGCTTGACTATGCAGCTATAGATCTAGTTTGCTTCCCGCTCGGATATTGTTCATGCTTCAGTTATCATGCACAAAATTAGCGATAAGCAATATTAAGCAGAGCACTCTGTATTGCAGTTCTGCCCTAGAGGGCTGATAACAGATCCCAGACTCTTTATGCTTTTTTCCTTTAGAGGAAGCTGAGTGACTGCTTCCCTGGGAAGCAGAAGCACATAAGCATTCTGAGCTTTATGTTAATTCAATGTCTGTCACATCCTTCTTGCACCTTCACTGGGAGCTTTCAAAGTCTTGGTGGAAATACTAAAATGGAAGACCCTTCTGCTAGTACTTTTTCAATGAGGATGCTATGATGCAGAAATAAGTAGTAGGGATATTTTAGTAGCTTTCCATGCATAAAAAATGCATGATCTTCAGAACACAACCACTGATAGCAATTAGCATGTATTTATAACATATCTATGAGTAACTGCATTCTTACCTGGTTATTGCAAGATACGTAAATAACCTTTCAACTTGATATGCTACAAGCCCACAGGTTTCTTAATTTAATGCATGCTCTGTACATTAAGAAAAGTAAGAATCACATACAGCTATGCCATCTTTCATATCACATGGCTTAGAATACCACTTGGGAGCCTATATCCTGGCTTTTCTGCCCTTGTCCCGTTCTATCAGAAGCAGATTTTCCTTTAAAAGACTTAATAAGCTATCTCCCATACTGTTTGAATGTTATTTACAAGCTTGGTGTTCTTTCCCTTTGAAACTTAATTCATGTAGCCTGATAGTTTCTTTAAAATATCTAGAGCTTATACTTGTCCTCACATGGTCCACCATATGACCATTGCTACACAAGTCCTTTGCCTGTAAACAGGCCGCCTTTTTATTCCTTCCAGATGATTCAAGATCACATTAATAAAACTCTGAATCAAAACAGCATATCCAAAGAACTGTAACAAGACACGGATCCCTTGTCCCTTTGGCAATAAAAGTATACAAAATAATTCCGAAACTCCCCAGGAGCCACAGCAGGTGCCAAAGGTTTTCTTGAGTGTTGTCCTTCCACCTTGCATCTTTGACACTCTTGCATATTTTGCCTTTAGTGCCAATATTGCAAAGCTTCGTGTATTTTTTGCTGCCATTCCTTAGTATTTTACTCTCCAATTCCAGATTCACCGGGCCTAAAACTTTTTGGTTGGAAGGATTTGTTTTCAGCTCTAAAACTACAGGGCATTTCAGAGGGGAAAAATCAAATACACGTTCAGATAGGAGACTGAAGATAAGGAACCAAAGATGAGCAACCGCAGGTGAACAACACTATATGTATCATTATGGTTTTATAAAATCAAGGAGGATATGTGATAAAGATCAATAAGGCGAAAGGATCTTTATGTTACCTACACTTCAGCCTACAGCATGACCTGGGAAACCATTTATCACAGTGCCAAAGGACCTCATTTTCCAAACCCTTACCCTCATCAAAACAATAACATCAAATGGAAGCATTTCCAATAGTTGCTTTCCATTAGAGCACATCTGCCCCGTTACAAATGAGCATGGAACACCATTTGCTTTTGTGTGCACCTCTATCTATTCAGCAAATTACAAACTGTTAAATTCATTAGGGATGTAGAACAAGAGCCTCAGCAGATGCAGGTATGCTGACTTACCATAAATGAAGATCTAGTTCCTGCTAAGAAATAAAAACTATCTAAATCATTCAAGTGTACTCTCTAAGTCTCATAAAAATATTCTGAGTCATCAGCCTGATAAACTATGCTAATTAAGCCTGATTGTTCTATTTAATCTTAACGATTGCCTGGAAACCTCAGAGGATATTTTGTTTGGCATCAAGAGAAGAGCATACTCACATGAATGCCAGTTGCCTGTGTGGTTGATTGTCCTGTCTCAGAGCCTCAGAAACCCACGGCAGCAACACTGAACAATCCTGAATTCCTTGAATTCCTGTACAAGGAAAAATGAACAAAACATTCACATGTTGGACTTCAATTTTATTTTGCTTGACAGTCTCCTTAGTATTTTAGATAAGACAGTGTACTGGGTGGGCTACTAGAATAATATACTTTAAGAACCAGTAATTTAAAAAGAACTACCACTCTCAAATCTGTCACAACAGCTTAACAAAAAAAAAAAAAAAAAAAAATTGTTGGAAGGGTGACTATTATTTGTATATTTTCTTTACACTTTGGCCACCCTGTAAGCAAGCATCCTCTAAATTTCATATGGATTAGCACCTGTCCCCCAGTGAGAGAACTGCAGAGACACTTATCTGAAACCCATGCAAGAATGATGAGAAACTCAGGAGCATCAAGCTATGAGGACATGCAGTCTATTGTCTTGTAAAGGCCTCCAGGGTTTCCTAAAAAGATTTTAATGGGATCCAACAAGGGCAACTTTGATTATCCCATGCTGTTTCAAAGACGTAACAATCAAACCACGGAGACCATGAATTTGAAAGGCAGCTGACAAATCTAGAAGAGGAAGTAGAATTTACTAAGATTCAGAAGCAAGATTTATATGTCAGATGACTAACTATATTTCAGAATCTGTCATTTCTAGGAACATCAGTTGGAGATATTATTTATTACTATCTATATAGATCCCCACACATATTACAATGCGTGTGTAGACATTAAAGTCAGCAGCAAAAAAAAAAGACAGAAAGAAGGGAAATAGGAGGGAAGGGAGAGCCGTTCCATATATATAAACAAGGTGTTTTCTTAAGACTTGAGTACATATTGCCTTTGAAAGTTAGGGTTTACTTTTCTATCTCAGCTCACAAGTTCATTAATTTTACTCATGATTTTATATATACTATTCTTGGGAATATATTTAAATTTTTTTGGATAGGAGTCATGTTATCCTGAAGCAATTACTAACTAAATTTTTAGTAAACTTGTTACAAATAAATTCTGGAGTTGTTCTTGAGGGCCTTCCAGTAATCCTGCTATCCCAAATCCCCTTCTGTCAGTACAGCCTGTTGCTCAGAGCCTCTCAACACCCAAGGTTTCTTTCTTCCTCAGAGAAACATACATTATTGAATATGCCATAGCAGAAATATTACATTATTTTCTTACCACACTGCTTAATGACATTCAAATATAATTTTATAAACACATCATAAATATCAATCTTGAAAATACATTAAAAATCCAAAGAATACTAAATTACCCTATGTAGGTGATCTAAAGTGATTATAAATTAATAATGATGAAGAAAGTTGAAATTCAAAAGTTCTGAACAGGTAATTTAAACATGTGAAGACTTCTGTAAAACACTGGGATAACAGACACAGTGTCTAATGTCAACATTTTATCTCATCTTTGCTGAGTACTGGTACATGGCTTCATCCAAAAAATATATCCAGAAGATTTCAGAGATAATTACATCTCTGCAGGCCTAGCTTTGTTTCTCTAATCATTCAGCTCTTTTGTAAGCCGCCCTAACTCTGTAAAAATCACTCCTTTCTCAGTTTATACTGGACCACTAAAAACAAGAAAATGGTTTCCTCAGGCAGAGGAAAATGAAACTATTTAGCTTCTGTTTCCTCAGCAATTCCATGTGCTGGGGTTTGCTGCAGTTTTCATACTGTCTCAAGTCTTGAATATGCCAGTTTCAAGTAATCAAGCAATCAAAAAAAGGGACTGTCCCACTGGTGCCCATTGAGAAAGTTGCAGCTCGAAAGCAGTAACGGTGTCCTTTTCATTATGGGTTTGGGGTTTTTTATGCAAGTGGGTTTGAGGATGACACCTATGGCACCAGCCCCTCTTTCCTCCTCCTCCCACCTCCACCACAGACAGATCTGGTTTTCAGCTGATGACTCCTTTTGCAATTGAGGTGAGCAGGAAATTAAGCTATAGGCAAGAGCACAAGCAAAGAGCTTTGATTTTTATGTAGTTCTACACACAGAAAGGCAAACATGCAAACTGAATACAGTGGGACCTTTATCACATATATGTTGAGAAGCAGTGAATGTTATAATAAATAAATGACACAGACTGTTGGGTCCTAATAATGACTTTCCATTCATTGTGCCCTAAGATTCAAAACACACAACAAACTCCCAAGTGTTGGTCACAGGATTGTGCCCAGTGTTCCTTAGCGAGACTAGAGATTCATATCCATTTCTTTCATGGTGACTAAGACGCGTTTTTCTTACTATAACAGCTTTCAAATTTGGATACAATTTTGGCCAGTTTCTAGCAGAATGTCCTTGGGTGAACAACGTATTCACACTCAGATTTTAAATCATTGTAATGATTTAGCAGCATGCAATCCATTGATTTCAGCAGATGACAGGGTATTTGCTATCAATAGAACATTGACATATGCATAGAGGCACACACAGGTTTAGCAGTAGCACTGTTGTAGCTATATCAGTGTAAGATACAAGCAAGGCAAGGTTCAAAGGCAGAGATAATTATTGTTATTAGCCCAGGTGATATTACTGAGGGGAGAAAAAATGAAGTATAAGCTTTCAGGTACATAAGTTATTCTTTAGGTCTCTTCTTCAGAGACACTGATTCCAAGAAGTAAAAGAAGCTATGTGCAAACCTTATACCTAGCCATTACTGTTAGAAAAGTTAAATACATGGCCTTCTCTCAACAAACCCTGATTTGCAAGTTCCTTTCAGCTTTAAAAACGTGATCTCTCTCTTCTGCTGTGCCAAAATATTTAACACAGGGACAGATTATTAGTTTGTGTGCAGCCTAATAAATTATGCTAAACTAACTGGATTAATGAATTCTGGTAATATTCATTGGCCATGATGCCTTGTTATCCTGGAGCCTGTGTGCTGAAAACAGCAACCAAAGAATTACAATGTTGTAGAGCTACTACTCAGATGCTGTAAATATCTAACCAGTGCACGGGGCAGAAAACAACTGGGCAAGTAAAGGCAATCCAATTTGTCTTTATTTGACTCTGCAGTAATAGTAGTTATGATCAATGGTGATTACGAAGTATAAATAGAATGTAGATTTCTTACAAACAAATAAAAATCTGTACCTACTAAATTAACTAGTGCACCAATTTTGTTAGTCTTTGATAGTCATCACCAAAAAAGAAATCTCATCATTCCAAAAATCTAAAATCTGTGCATTTCCAGCTACATAATCATGCTTTGAAATATTTTTAATTGAAAGTAACTGATAGAATATAATGCAGCATTTATCTTGCTGCAGGTGACACAAGGCATATAGAGGAATGTTTTAACAAATGTTTTATTTAAAGACAGACTTGAAAAGTCTGTGGGAGTAATTGCCAGTTTGTCAGCTGAATCACTTTATCCTTTGGAAGAGCTTTTTGTCATTATATTAGATGATTCCCAATGGCAACGCAGGCCAATTTATAGGATAAATGCACCTCAGTGCCACTGCACTCCATTAATGAATATTAAAATATTATTTTGGGGCTTGATTTTACAAAATATCCTTCTTGTTTTGATGGGCATGCTATTAAATGACATGTATATTGAAAACCTGTGTTTCCATGATAAAAAGAACAAAGATCTCTTTTTCTGATTCTCCCTTCTTTTCCATAGTTTTTTTTTTTTTAAAAAAAAAAAAAAAGTCTGCTCATTAACTTCTTAATATGAGAAAATATTTTTGTATAATGTAGTGAAGTCTCAATCCTGCCTGAGAAATTTTGTTTATCTTAATGGGATTGTCTGAATGGAACAGCTGGCAGAACTGGACCCTTTGGGCTCAGTGCACAGTATTTACACGACAGATATTACAACAGTACGTTGCCAAAAACCAGGCTATATGAACAGCATTTCTAATCATTGTAAACCAATCCAGGACTCTGGTATTTTAAAGTGCTTACATTCCCTTGAAAGAGAAAGACATTCTGCTTACATTTAAGAGACTGACATACTAATCCTCAAAATGTGGTACGACACCATCCATTTTTGAACATGAGAATAAAATCATCTCAAAGATGTTTTTTGAATGTTTCGGTTTAACTGAGCAGAAACGTAAAAGATTTACTAGATCAATTAAAATACTATGAACTTTATTCTTTGTCAAATTATTTTAATCTGTATATCTCTGGATTATTCACCTATCTGTCTACAGGAAGAAAACGTGTGTGAGACTGACTTGCACAGATATCTGTAGGAGATTCTGCATCTTGTATTTTCTGTGGGAGGGAAGCAGTTGGAAGATGAGCAAGAAATATGTGAATCATCTTACGACTACAATCTATATATGACTTCCTGCTCACAGGAAATAAAGTTACCTGACAATTTAACCACTAGCGTGGGTTTCTGACAACTTTGCATAAAGTTTGTTTGAAGAACCCTCATATTTTTAAACCTCTGTAAGAAGATTTTTTCTAAATATTGATCTGAATAAAATTAAAACTGGTAAATTAAAAAATACAAAAAGTAAAAATTTGTCTTTGCAATGAGAGTTCTAGTTTGCAAATCAGAATAACAGTCTGAAACAAAACTTCAGCAAAGTTGCCATCTGGTTCTGATTTACAGGTTGGTCACTGTTTCTACAATCAGCACAGATTTCACTTTTACCCCCCTTCTCACCTTCCTGCTTTTAAATTCCTGTGGATCTGATTTTAAAGAATCCCTAAATGAATCCTTTCTTTCCCATACTCTTTGGGTGGTACCCACTAAACTGACGATTGAACAGCTTTTCCCTCCTTCACATTTTCAAACAATGATTAGGGAAACGTAACAGGCATTTTGGTAGAAGCTTTGCTTGGATTCTTACCCCGGTCCTTGGATTTCCATCCCAAGAGGTGCTGCCTTCCCCTCCGTCACAAGCGGTGGTGAAGCCAGCAGTAGCAGGCGGTTCCAGGGCACACTCAAGCACGTGTTTAGATTTGAGAATTAGGACAATGCTATTCCCCTTGTGGTTTGATCTCTACCCGTTAGGCTCTAATGACTATGTCAGTGCTCCCCATTTTATACATCATT